ACCCATGCAGCATGGCAAATAAATAAATATATACATGATTGATTTGAATTTATTTTCGCTCATAAAATGTAATAGAATTTGATCCGGAGGAACAAGTAGTAGCCATGGAACATAGCAAGGTAAACTACTTGGTTGATTTAAATTTATTTTCAGCTGTTAAGTATAGCACGGTACTCGGATTTGATTGTGTTGATTGGATTGAAGTTTTTGGCTATATGGACAACATATTTCTTGTGTGTACGGACGAGCTTGAATGGTCTGTGGAGGTTAATATCTTGTTGTCTAATGACCGACTATGCCTTATACTGTGTGATGAACATCTATCCAAGAACTTTATCGTCAGAGCTACACAGGATGGTTTACAATAAAGCCATAAGTCAGGTGATTATATTTAAAAGATTGGGAGACGAGAAGTTCATTTATCTTAGAGTTTCATACTCGATTAAACACCCATATTACTAGTATCTTAGTTGAGGATGAGTGCCTAGAATTCTGAATTACTGCATAAGCATAATTTCAGGAAATATCTGGTTATTGTCTTGGGAACTGCAGAAATATGAATATTAGGATAGATGCATCGTATGCAGAGGTGCGTGAGCTCAATTTATTGAGAAAAGGTGGAGTTGTCTAAGATGTACTTATGTCGTTTTACATGCAATGAAGAGCTCATAAAGTCCCATTAAGTAGGTTCATGACAGTGAGGGAAGAGCTAATTGAGTTGGAGAAGTCATCTGGAAGAACTTCTATGAGGTTAAGTGTTAATGAGGCCCCGACCATGCAGCTGGGGCAAGACATGATTTTTTTTATTATGAAATCCTTTTATTTTGTTGCTATTACAAGTAATAGCTACTTTTTTAGAAGATGTTTTTTGTTGATTGTTAACTTGGAAGACATTTCCATGTGGCTCTTCATTAGTCATGTAATTGATTAGTCTTGGTAAGTAGTAGTACTTACTCCTTAGTCACAAAAAGTTGCCACTTACATTAATAACCATTCTTCATTCACGGTAGAGGCCATATATTTTCTTGCATTCAATAATTCCCAATTTCATATGGATTGAGTGAGCCTGTGGACTAACTTAATTCTGATCCAGTTTCATCTGGATATCCATTCAGGAATTAGCTCTGAATTACCAATTTACAAGTCATCTTTGAACAAAGTGCGTTCTCAACTGTGTCACCTTTTTCTCGTGCAGCTCAACCAACAATTTCTGAAACATGTCCAAGTTTATATGCGTGAATAAAGATCATACCGCCTGTCCTCAGCTTCTCAATCTCGTGAAAATTGCTGAACATATACATGAGAGGGTCTAGGTCTGTTTTGTGAACCTTGGCCTTGTTGAGATTATAGAGTGGTTAACCGAGAAGGTGCAAGTTTTCCCTTTCTTCTCATGAATCATCAATAAGAGTAAAGTGTACTAGGGTACTAAGGAGTTGTTAGTGGTCTATGTTCCTTGAAGGGGAGCTTATGCAGATGCCTTCATCATTGAGTCAAACTCGTAGTCTACATAAAGAAAATAATATCAGACAACTGAAGGCATAAAAATTCCGGTGTACCTGTGATAGGATATCAGTAGCTATTTCTCAATTGAGCCCTGGGTTATGTACTTAGTAGGTGACTAGAGGGGGTAAAGACGTGTCGCTCGTGGTTGTGTGTGTTTGTGTGTATGGGTGGGGGTGGTGGGAGCTTTTGTGAGAGAGGGATGGGAGGATGTGAGCCAGAAAGAGGGAAACAAGCGAGACCGAAAGAGGGAGGAGGAAGGGAGGTGAAATTTGTGAAGTTTGGGAGGGATAGGTGAGAATTACACATTGTATAATGGAGGGAGGTGAAAACCGTGCGTAGAGAGTAAGATGAAATCGTTAGGAGGAAAGGATCGAAAATTTTGACTGTTGGGAGGGATAGGTGAGAATTATGCATTGTATAAGGGATGAGGGAGGCGAAACTTGTGAGTAGGGAGTAAGGTGAAATCTTTAGAAGGAATGGATTGAAAATTGTGTGTGTTGGAGGTAGGTAAGGAGGGAGAGCGAAAATTGTGTAGTAAAATAATGGAACCTTGTTAGTAGTAGAACAGATCGACGAAGCATGATAATATATGGTGAGCTAAATGCTGCGAGTTGATATTCTTAGGCTTAAGGTAAACAAATCTTCAGGGTTTTAACATCTGATTTCTAGGGTAGGTGCTACCAGTGTACTGGGCATATGGTTGCCTAAGCCAATGAACAGGAATTCCAAATAAGAGCGGGTTGAGAAACCAAACAATATTTGAAAATAGATCTAGGAGCCCGACCAGAATTCAGAAAAAGAATTCCTGGACAGTTAATTCTCAAATAAATATTAATATTTCATGGTTAGTAACTCTATAATGTAAAAAGTTCAAATAGAAAAAATTAAAAGAACTCCATGTGGGATTATGATTAATTATGTATTAGGATCATAATATTCTTAAAATAAAGTCAAGACAATATTGTAAAAAAAAAAAACCTTTTCTGTAAAGTTAGGACAAATGTAATGCAGTAGTACTGTGTGCTCTTTGGTTAGTACTTGTCTCAAAAATAAGCTCGCACAAAAATTGGTCTTAGCATTTTATTTCACTGAACTTTGCTCCTACTATACAGGACCTTAACTGTTACCGTGCATGTATGATTCCACTATCTGTAACTCTTCTCACTTTTTCTGAACTGGGGTACCTAGGTGCCATATAAAAATGTACTTGCTGAGCCTGCACAGTGTTTTGGAGTGGATTCCACTAATGCATGTCTGTAGCTGTTTGTTTGTGTTATTTGGTCTAATGTTTCCTTGTATGTGACACCTGCATGTGCATGCGACGTGCATGCCCATGTGTGCAAGTGCAAACTGATTAAAGTCATATCATGTTCGACATATGCAATTCAAGAGAAAGTAGAAGCACATAATATGTGAAATATTATTTGTTGATAGTAATAAAAAAAGATTAGGGTGTAAGGTCAGTTAAATTGGAAATGAGGCGTCAACATAGAGAACATGTATGGGCTCTACTCTTTTATTTGACAGTGTCCCAAACTGAGTAATATCCTTACTTGTTATGTCTAACACATGCTAGTGCTTGCAAGTTGGTTTGATACACACAACCTAGCAGCTACAATGAATGAAGTGGTTTTTTGACGTAGTATCATCATGCAAAGTTTCAAGAGATCAAAGTCCAAACCTCATCATTTGATGAATAAGCATATGTTTATTTATCCCGTTTATCTTACTTTTCCAAGAATGCCTTGTTTAGAAGGTCTTTTCATGCGACCAAAAGGTTGATATACTATTCACTCACAATATATCAGTTTAAGTTTTAGTAAAAATACTTTCACGATACAGGCCCATTTTTTTTTTATGGATCTTCATAATTAGTAAAGTTCATTGCACAAACTGATGTCAGATTGTCCCAACTTTCTGCAGATGGCAGTCTGCATGTGCATTGTGCATTTGATAGTTAGATTATCGACCAGTAACACTGGGAGTCTATCAATATCATTGGTTGAGAAGATTTCTGCTATCTCGAATAAGGTATGCATCGGTATGAATCATTCTGTGCACGTTCCACATGCAACTTGTAATGTTCTTTCTCAACGAATTTTGAATTTTTTATCTAGTTATTACAGTTCGACAAACGGTTTCTGATATTTGCATCTGTTCTTTTTCTTTCTTTCTGTTTATGGTTTCTTTTCTATTCAGCTAAGCAAACATCCTGCATTTGCAGCCCTTATAGCACAGTATTCATCTTATGGTTACAGGTGCGAACTCTACCTTGACATTTAAATGTAAAACTCTCACTGTTTTTTTTTGTTTTTTTTATTTTTAACATGTTAAAGAAAGCTAGAGAGTTTCTACCTGTAATTTTCTTACTGGTTTTATTCTTGAAATAAGAAATAGCTTGAGTAGCGGATGAGCTGCCAAATCTATACAGTGCATTATTAATTGCCTTGCACAATCTTAAACTATCTTGTATTGATACAGCTTATAACTCGGATGCTTATTGTATAAATGTTAATTCTCTCTGTTATTCTTATATTATGTTGTTGTGGTTGTATTATAATGCATCCCATTGACTCTAGGCTGTATTTTCTCCATTTTCATTTTACGTTACCTCTATATCTGCAGTGAGAGCAAGCAGCTCACCCATCTTATATTAAATGACCTCTACTACCATATGCAAGGAGAGCTAGAAGGTCGGCACATCAGTCTGGGTCCGTTTCAAGAGCTGTCACATTTTTTATTGGAATCAGAAACCTTTCAGTGTAAAGTATGCGAGTATAATGAGGATGGATGGCTACCTGCCAATGCTGTTAGTATGTTTGACACTACTCAAGTATGCTCAGAACTTGGATTGCAGTTATGGGAGCACTCAGGTTGGAAGGCATCAATAGAGGTTGCTGACAGAATGTTGCTACATATGCACGAAGCAAATCTTGTTATGTCTCTTTCTGTTTCTAAGTATTCTGCTTTACAATCTCTGGTAGCCATCATATCCATGCAGAACGGAAAGGTAACTTTTGGAACTCATATTTACTACTTCTGAAACCCTTTCAGAAATCAAGCCTTGTCTCTGTTCTTGTCCTCTTGATTCATTTATATTTATATCTCATTATCTTTACAGGTATCAAAAATATTTGACACTGAGATATCCAGGACATTTATTGAGCCGTGCATTAGATTCACGTGTGAACGCCTGCAGGAAACAGAAGATTCACTAATTCCAGCTCTAAGCCCCCCAGAGATTGTGCTGAAAGTTCTTGCTGGTCAAGCAGAATTATTGCTGTCTCTCTCCAAAATCTTATTTAGGCAGAATTCAGAAAGGCGGAAGAAATACTTGCCTCTTTCTTTGCTTATAATAAAAACCTCAGGCTTAGGCATTAGGTTCCTTTCTGATATCCGGCCGCTAACTGAAGTCCTTAAGAAAACGATGAAATTCCTTTTCATATTGCTGTTGACATCAATGGAATTCATTTACCTTAAGGCACATGGAGAAAATACATCAGTTGTAGAAATTGATCAGGTTGCTGAGGCGTCTCTCACAAGTATTGCTCTTTTACCTATGCTGTGCAAGTATATTGAGCACACTGAGTTCTTTGATCTTTCAGTGGCGTCAATAGATTTAATGTTGAAGGGTTTTCTGGGCTCTAACACTTCATTGCCAATTCTAGAGAGTCATCTTCAGTTGCAGCATATCATTCAAAGGATTCAGCAGAAAAATGCTGCATTTTCTATTCGCATAACCTTGAATTTCCTGTTAACCTTGGCACAAACCAAAACTGGTGCTCAAATGCTTTATGTTGGAAACATATTTTCAGCACTAAAGGTGTTGCTCAGTTACTCACTGGGTGATAACTCTTTCACAAATGCTTCCAACAGAAGTGATGTTTCAGTCGTTATCAACAGTGATGAAATCCCCATGCAATTGTGGGTACTTTGTTTAGCAATAATCACATCTATGATCCATTCGTTGGGTGATGATCCCTCTTGTACTGACATTTTGGACAGGGCCATTCACTACTTCTTTTATGAGAAAGCTTATGTTGTGTCACACTATCTTTCTGTGCCAAGTTCTCCATCTGATGATGACAGCAAGAAGAGAACTCAAAATCAGAGTACAGGGACATCCCTAACATCTCTGAAACTAACCGAGCAGTTTCTTGAGCTTGTGTGTGTTCTTGCAGGGCATCAGTCCTCATGGAGCAAGGGTATGAAAGAAATTGACTCCGAACTTAGAGAGACATGCATTCATCTTTTAGCCTTCATAAGCAAGGGAATTCAACGCATTGGAGATTCATCAAATAAGGCTATGCTTCTTTTCTGCCCACCAACATTAAAAGAAGAGATCAAACTTAATGAAAGACCATCGTTTTCTGGCAGCAAACAGGGATGGTTCAGACTTTGTGCAATTGGACTACCAGGGAAAATTAAAGCTTCCGGTGTTTCAAGCAAGGATATAGCCCTGGTAACTAAATATCAGGCCAATGGGAATGATCTGGTCCACCAAACTCATTTTTCTGATACAGTATCCGTACAGATATATAGAATTGCTTTTCTTCTTCTGAAATTTCTTTGCATGCAAGCTAAAGCTGCAGCACAGAGGGCGGAGGAGTTAGAGTTGTTAGATCTTGCATATTTTCCTGAGCTCCCAATGCCTGAGATTATGCATGGATTACAGGTAAGACTTCATCAGGGTATTCCTTCTGCTTATTAGACTAGAAATATTCATAATGAAGTCATTACAAAAACCTTTATAAAACTTGGTTTCATAGCCAGCTAAAGATTACCAGAACGGATAGTTCTGATAGACAATCTGTTCAACATGAACAGAAATTCTACTGTTGGATAATATGATGATTCAAAACTGCAAGCATATTGGCCAGATACTCTCAAGATGGCAAAAAAATGTGTTAACCCTTTAATACTTTAGAAAAAAGGTGTAGTTCTTGTCAGTGGTTTGAATGCATGTGTAACTGGTATATACCCTCCAATTTGCAGGACCAAGTAATTGCTATCGTAGTTGAAGTGTGCGAATCCCACAGACAAAAGTCCATGCAGGCTGAAACAGAAAGTTTGTGCCTCATGCTACTACAAATATTGGAGAAATCATTGTATTTGGAGCTGTGTGTCTCACAATCATGTGGGATCCGCCCAGTTTTGGGCCGCATTGAAGACTTTTCCAAGGAGATCAAGCTACTGATGCAAGGTACATGCTCCCTGCTTTCAATTGTCACCTTATGATGTCTTCTTCTTCAGTGCTAGTTAAGTTGCTATTTTAGTTGAGCAACTCAGATGTCACATTATCTTATTATTATTTTTTCCTACTTTGGTGCCTATGTTTTTTGCAGTGACAGAACAACATTCAAATTTTAAAGAATCATTGAGGTCACTGTATAAGATTATTTCACTGGTGTACCCTGGATTAGCGAGAAGTGGCAATCCTATGAAATGTTAAATGTATATTTCTGAGATCGGTTTTATTTTCATGTAGCAATTGTTAATCAATAGTCTACACTCGCACCCATGTACATGTAAAGATTGGATCAGGGAGAAACATGACAAATCTCAAGGTGAAAGCATTATTAAATCATTTTGGAATGTATTTAAGGCTTGAAGCTTACATGTTGATATGTTACTGCTATCTCTGTCGCCTGTATAGTTCGTCGTGAACTCATCTGAGGCCTCGATATCCTGTTAAAAGCCCTTGCTGGATTTCTGTCTTAGCATTGATGAATCCCATGCTTAAGTCCTACTTAAAATTAAAATCCGCCATGCTGTCCATAGTTTTTACGTCTACTTTAAAAATATTGAACTGCCTGTTTAGGCTGCTGACAAAAGAATTTGTGTTGCATAGATCTTCATTTTGTTGGAAAGATCTCAATCTGTTGTAATAAAGCAAAATTCTGTGCCTATTTCGCATGTGTTTCTATTATGCTGTTGTAGTCTTTCATATTAACCATTCGAATGGCACATTTGTCCAGTTTTAGCACATCTGCTTATCTCCTAATCAAAGCATCTCCATATTTGAAGCTCTCTCTAGGCAATGTTCCTCTCAGGTTGCAGGCTGTTGATAGCTATTAGGGAACATCTATGAATCTTCGGCGTTGGTCGCCTTCTCCGCTTACTCCATTTCCTTTTTGCCTTTATTATTATTATTATTATTATTATTCATTATACAACTGCAACTTTCAACAACTGAAGCTTATTTTCCCTCACCACTGCCACTGAGTCCTGCGTTGACGCTTTTGACCGTTTTGAGTCCCGTTTTGAGTCCCGGCTTAGGTTTGCTTTGTGGTTGATCTTAACATTTCGGTAGGGATTATGCTATATGTGATTAATCTTCCAAAACTGTATTTGTAACTGGCATCATTCTTCATTGCAAGATCAAACCTATAGATCAAGTTTGTAATAAAAAATGTGCAAGAAATCTGTACCTTGGCACCACGTATACTGGATCAGTTGCCCACAGTTGCATCAAACGCGTATGAATTATCTTATAAGCTAAAATCTCCAAAGCTTGAAAATATGCATGGATGATCTCACATGACACGCAATCTCCCATCCTGTTCTCGTCCTAGTATCCTACTGAAAATTGAGGTTGCAAATTTAGTAAGATATGCTTTTCATAGTTCCAGGTTCAGCATGACTTGCAGAGGTTTATTATTGGACAAAGAGAGAATTGTTGCATGAAGGAGATTCGTGTTTATCGTATTATTAGTGGAGCTAGTCATAAACAGAAATCGATTAGAACGCTTACATTAAGGACACCAGTGATAGAGTGATATTCGTAATATACACCCCTTTCGAATTGATGTTTCATTACAAAAAATTGTATTGTGAAAAATAATTTACAGTTCAATTACTGTAACATCTTGACCATTTTCCTCAGAAATATGCATCAACTGGTAGCTTGCATGTATTAAGCTAGCGAGGAGACAAGAGTGAACAGTATAAAAGAATTAAACATTCACACATTCAACCTGTTAGAGCACAGAACGTCAAACTTGAGCAAATAGCAATTCCAGGCAGCAAACACATAAATCGTTTCAGTCGAGAGCCCACACCTGCAAATACATCGTAGACGCAACTAATTGCAGTACTATTCAGAAGAACAAGGTCTAAAAAAACTTTATGGCGACTACAAAGAATATTACCTGGATCTTTCCATCAGCTGAACCTGAGAAGAGCATTTCCCCATCAGAATCTGAAGCTAAAGTTGTAACTTTCGTGTTTGATCCATTGCCCACTTTGATCGAACCAACTCTCGTCAGCCTCTCCCTTAACCACACTTCAATTATCCCACATTTGGTTCCAGTAAACACAAAATCGCTGCTTACGGTCATGCAGTGGATGTCAATTCCTGTTGTGAAAGACCCTATCGCTGTTTTTGTTGACAATGAGAATGCCTAAAATGCATGGCAATAATAGCCAAAAAAAATCAGTATTTGGTAGTAACAAGAAGGTGTCTATCAGTTGCAATGATGTTATGTTCAGTGGTAGGAGGCCCGGAAAAAATTGAATCGTATATTGACGTGTTCATATTTGTATTCATGTAAAATCATAAAATTCGAGTTTAGATTCAAATGTTCTTCCTTCTTAAATTCTAGTTTAATTTCGAATGTTCTTTTTCAAATCTCCTCGAATATAAATATCCCTCCAAATATACCTTGCCAGCGGTTCCATCAACGGAGGATCCTCCGGCGTAAAGAACACCATCTTGAATTTGTAGTGCAAGAATGGTTTGTTTCCCCAGTAGCTTTCTTGTTCCTGAGTATAACATAGTTGATGTGCATTTGGACAAACCCACTTCCTGCAGATTCACACACTCTGTCAGTCATTGTATGGTAAAAAGTGGGAAGGCAAGTGAGAAGCCACAAATATTTGTTTATCATGAATGCTTGAACGCAAAGCTAACCAGGTCAAGTTCCAATATCTTTTTTTTTTAATATTACAAACACAAGTTATTTTCATTGTATATGTAGGTGATCAACATGTTAGAGTGATATGAACAGAATTGATGAACCTGGATACTGTAACTGGTGCACCCGCAATATAGGTTTCCTTCTTCCACTGCAAGGCATTTAACATTTTTGCCTAAATTTACATGCTTTGGGTTTCCACTCCCATTATAAACCTGCAAAATAGCTCTTCAGCTTAAAACATCTCGCATGTTTAAAAATATACTGAATGGCCTAGCGAACGTCACCTTAACTCCAGTTCCTTGTGAAGCGTAACACACAAGATCAGCAGTGGCGGTTAAGCACTGCACTGTCTCTTTCATATCATGAATCTGAACAATAAGAATTTCTTCTGGTGTGATCTCCCAGACCTGCAAGCAATGATGAGATATTTGGAAAAATGGTGATAAAACAATGACAGATAACTGAATAGAAAGCAAACAATATATATGTGCAGAAAGACAAGAATATACAATAAGAGAAAATTATGACAAGATGAATAAATAAATAAATAATGGTTGTGATGTTCTTCCATTTGCCAGTCCAAGTCTGAATAAATGAGAGTTATGTAAGCATCCATGGAAGTGAATCCTTAAAGAATGGTAATTTGGTATTTATCTTCTCCAGCATCCTATTTTGTGGACGAAACTAGACAGATACGTGATTTTTGGATATGTGTGTAACTGATAAATACTGTAACAAGATTAGGATACAGTTCAAATTTACAAAGCAAATATATGATTTTGACATATCAGATGTTAAATTCTCTTCCCGAAATCCTTCTCTAAGTTTTGTTGCTCTTTCAAGGAAGGAATGAATGAGTCTTAGGGGGAAAAACCATTCAGTTTATGGGGTTGTTCATTTATTGCTAAAATTGTTAGGATTTTGAAAAAGAAATGATTATCGCAAGAATAGATCTGAGGCTCTAGCCTGTTTTAGTCCTTTTAATATCTTCTCAGAAATACAAAATCATTACTCATGAAAAAAGATGTGCATGGACGGTTGTACACAATTATTTCTATAATTAGAAGTGAAATTATGCAATGCAACAAAATTTTTACGACTTTTTTTTTTGTATGTAACTTCCTATAAGCAGGAACAAGTTCCTAAAAATTTCCCAAATAAGAAAAATCAATGTCAAAAAAGAGTGAGTAGTGTATTAAAAAGTATCAAAGAATATCTTAGCAAAAAGCATGCATCCGAAAATTGTCGGAGGCAGTTTCATTGTTTTTGAACATGTTGCCCGTATCAGAAACAAGTTTTCCGTGACACAAGTGTACAACCTGTGTGTAGCGTCTAGTGACTACTATCTTGGAAGCAATGTGCAGGGTCCAGTAACTACTATCCTGTGAAACAATGTGATATTGTATCTATGTCAGGTGCATATATCAGCTGCAACTATTCTTTGTCGTCCTTCTTGTTCATGGCTATACCAGTGTACCATGGGTCATGTTTGTGCTCGTGTGTCTCTGATCTTACTTATTAGCTTATAAACTGCCTAAAATTTGGTCGCATACAAAAGATTTGATCAAATTACCTTGTACCAATGTAGATCGAACAAAATACCAGGTCTCACAAAATGCCCTAACGTGTATCTTTACATGCATTAAGCTACATATCAGAAACACTAGCCAATTGTAAGGTGGGGCCTGGCATTGTTTAAAATGTAAGAATTTATAAATCTCAGGGATAACTATTTCGCTCTTTCAACATCCACTGATTCAGAAGATTAAGAACATGGGCTGCAAGGGCTCAATTCTATGATTAAATAGGACAAACGATTAAGACTTGTGTGAGCCATTTTTGTTTCTGATGAACATATTGTGATTAAACAAGTATGTTGGATGGTTAACAAACAAGTTGAAGCTGGAGAAAAGAGGTACTCACTCGAATTGTTTTATCTAGTGAACTGCTATAAAGTTTGTTGCCTGAGGATGGAACATAAAGGCAAGTGACAGCCTTGGAATGTTCACGGATTTCCTGAACTGATCTCAAACCCCTCCTTCCAGCATCCCACACCTACACAAAAATACATAGAGGTTATTAACAGGAAACTCCTCTTTCTGAAACATATTCACCTCCTTCAAAGTCTATCTATCAAATTATATCTGTTAGTATTCCGCTAGTTAAAAATCCTATAATTACATGGGAAGTACAGCATATTATCTTAGTTCAAGTCTGTGCAAGGTACTGGTAAGGTGTGAAAATTTTACCTTGATAGTCCCATCCGAGTGGCTACTAAAAAGTCGACCTTTTGAATGAACCAAAGATAGGACCTCTCCGTTAGAAGTACAGTCTATGTCAAATAACTCAGTACAAGACCAAAACTCTGTCTGAAACATAAATGACTTAGCAACAGAAGGTATATCATTATAACCAAGAAATTCCATGTGTGTTATTCCACTCACTGCATCAACAGACGGCAAGTTCATAATTGCTTTCAATGTATCTGCAACTACTAATGAGCACCGTTTGAGCTTCCTCAAGGGCTTGTAGATACATTTTGCATACGTCCCGAGTTCTTTAAGTGCATCTGCAATCTTGTAAAGGACAACATTTAACTATACAGTCGATGAGAGACCACTTTGACAATAGATTTCAGCATATCTATTACCTGGGTCACTGATGAAGCTTTTCAAAGCCAAGGTTGCTAGAATCTTCTCCTCAAAGTTCCTAGATGAACAGAGAACCTCAATAA